GGTTGGTTAGCGCTGGGTGTGCGGTCAACACGTGGTCTTTTCACGCCGCGCACATGGCCGCGTCGCACGCGGTCAGCCATGTCGCCGTGCTTGGCCGGTCGAGCCACCTGGGCTTGGCCAAGGCCGACCGTAGCGAGCCGCTGGCCCCGCGCCCTGCTGCTCTGCCTCACGTTGTCGTCTTGGGTGCCGCCACGGCCACGCTGTGCTGCAGTCGCATCCGTACTACCCTCACTACTCGCATCATGATGTTGTCGCTGTCATCGCATCGTCGTCGTGTCTGCGCTGATCTGCTACACCTCTACGCTGTTGCCGGTCCTGTGCGTGTCGCCTCTGCCATGCGCATGTGCATGAGCCGCCATCGTCATGCCATTTATGGCACTGCGGCGTGCGGCCCACGCTGGTCGGACGCACGCAAACGTGGTCCATAGCGCCGCCACGTGGGCCTCTCATTCTCATCACTCGCGTCCCGCCAAGGCAAGGACGAGCTGAGAACACCTGTCGCGCCGTCTCTCTCTTTCCCTCTTCTCCCTCTGTTTTCCACCGCCATCGCGTTGTGTCACGGTGAACCCAGAGAGCGAGCACCTCTCATCAATTCCTTGTGCTTGCGTCTCCACCTTCATGTCCTTTCTCTGGATGACCCCACCCCGCCTTGACTCGCATCACGTCGAGCTCCAATTTTGGAGCTTTGCCCACCGCCATGCCGTTAAGGCCCGTCACCGCCCACGCCATGGTCAGCCTCCACCACTTCACCCCACGCTAATTCCTCTGCACCACTAGCTCGTCTTGGCTCCCTCTTCATCGTGCGCACGCTAGTCGCAGCTCTAGTGCCGCCTCCTCGCCGTTGCGGCGGCCGTGACTTTGTGGTCCACCGTTCACCTCGCAGCGCGCACGTGGCTAGCCCGCTCGGGTCATCTCCGGCTGAGCTGGCTTCTCGGTAAGCTCATTGGTGAGTTGTTATTGCTCACCCATTACCCCTACTGCCTTGTTGTTTCTGCGGCTCACCTGAACACCATCACCATTGCTGTAGGGTGCCCGCCGTCGTGGAAAGGTCCTTCTATGGCGTCCCGGCTCGTGCAACCACCGCCCATCATCTCGCGTCGAACCCTAGGTGAGTGTCAGCCTCGTAGATAGGTCAGCGTGGGTCCCGTGTGGCCGGCGCAAGCGCCAGTGCCATCGCTCACCGCGCCGGAGCACGTGGGGAAGGCCGGGGGCCTTGCCGTTGTAAAGAGGAGAAAGGTCCGAGGGTTTCGTTGCAAAGTTGTTGTCTATAGAAATAGTAATGTGGACTGTGGGTTGTTTTACTCGTAGTCTAGGGGCATTTTTGCAAGAGTGCCAACGCGCACGGGCTTCCTCACCGTGGGCCGCCTCCGCGCGTGGGTCGCGCCTCGCCTGTGGGCCGATGTGCCCTCGCTCGCGCGCGCACGTTGCCCTACCTAGGCCGCGTTGGGCCAAAAGTGGTTTACCTTTTTCGTGGAAAATAGAAATAGCTTTTCATTTGTATTTCTGAGTCGATCTTTGGTAAATCATATAAAATCATGTAGGTATCCAAAAATTATGAAACAAATTTTGTTAAGTTCCTAAAATTGTATTCTATCTGTTAGTGTATTTATTTCATATATGTGCTTGTTGATACCAGGAGCTATTAAATCATTTGACAGTGTTTAATATTATTAGATTAAACATTGTAGGAATTTTTGTGGCAAAATGGTGGTAGCTTTAGCTTTAAAAATTTTATAGTAGCTTCATGGTATTATTATGTGCTCACTGTAATTTTTGTAGCCTTAGAATAGGCTAAGTACTAGCGTAGTCAGGTGCTCCTTGCTGTAATATAAGTTAAATCGCTAATAAGAGTAAGATTACATTTTAGTTGCTAAGTTAATATCCGTTAGATGAATCCATACCTGTTTTTGTGGAAATGATAGTTAGCTTAGTATCTTAGTCATCAGAGCTATCTTAGTAGTTTACCATGTGTATTCTTATTTTAGGAGCTGTTGTTGCTAAAATACTAAGTGTTGCATCATCATTGCATGCATGGAGAGAACGAGTTGGCAGAGATCGTGACCATCGGAGACTACGAGTTTGAGGAGGTGATCGAGGAGTATGAGGAGGAGATCCTCATGCAGGAGGAGATCCTAGAGCCGCCACTGACTGACTGAGCTCACACCCCGCCTGCCCAAGGCAAGCCCCGGTGCATAACCCTTATTTTGAATAATCACTGAATATATATATCTGTGATGTGCATCTACGCTACAGGCATTTTATGGAAACCACCTACATAAATATATCTGTCCTAGGAGTCCTGTTAGTACAGGTGCGAGTAGCTGCTATGCTTAGGTTTTTCGGTAGCGTGAGTAACCTGTCGTTACTCATAATAGGTGATTATTATTATTACTCTCATGATATAATGGTGAAAGAAAATGCAGACCGGGCAGGGATATGGTACGGGTATTGGTGGGGTGTAATAGGTTGTGTCCCGTGGCCAACGGGGCATAGCTTGGTTACACTGTTTTCCCTGTCCGTGTCGGTTAAGGACCGACCGTTGCATTGGATTCTAGTCAGGTCACAGACTTATTATCTTGAGCACATACTTGCTTATGGGAGCGGGAAGGCTCGTTGCTCTCTTGTCGTGGGTTCCGGCTTTTTTCGGACCGACTGATTGGAGGCGGGAATGATGGAGGTCTAAGCACCACACTGAGTTTGGGACTCAGGTGTGGAGGCTTAGAGTCCAAGTTTGGATGGGGACCTGGACCCCTTGACAGGAGAGTGGTGAGTTGGTCCTGCTTGTGCTTAGGGTACAAGCAAGGCATGTGTTTTGGGGTACCCAGCTATGCTACATTGGTTCGTGAATCGCCGTGTAATACGGTACGACTTGTCTACGATCTAGCACCATAGTAAGAACTGAAAGATGAAAGATGGTGAAATGAATCTGATTGCTCAACTCTTGCTTGAAAGTAGAACAGGTACTTACATAGAATGGTTAGCTAATGAACTAATCATGACTGTTAATAAAACATACATAAGGATTCACTGCCATTAATGCTTTTTGCAAAAAGGAAACCCAGCAAACCATAAATCCTATCATATCCTTTGGAGTCGGGAAAGTATTCCCACTAGTCGGGTAAGTCTTGCGAGTACATTGTGTACTCAGGGTTTATTTACCCCTGTTGTAGGTGCAGCTTGAGGAATGGTTGTTGTGTGGAGGATTCTTCTGGTGGGCACAGATGGATCCTTGTATCTTATCGTTACATGTTTAATTTAATTCCGCTATTAAATTCCGCACTCTGAACTTGGTATTGTAATAATGTATTTCTAAGAACTCTTGTTGTATGAAATGGACTAAGTATTATAAACTCGTTCTCATTATTGGATCCTGGAGGAAAAACGTGGATTATTCGAGTTCTTCCTTGGGGTGTGCTCGACGGAACCGTTCGATGTAGCTAGCTTTCGGGGTGCTTAGTGTCTGGTGGAAGACGAGCGCCTCCGGAAGCGTGCTATTTCGGACGGTTCTGCCACAATTCCCTAACTCCAGAACCCTAACCCTCTCATCTAACTCCCCGCGAGTGCAAGAAACACGCAACCCACCGCCTAGCACCTGATAGAGTTTGCGATAGGCATTGCATCATTGTTGTTAGATAAAAATTATATATGGTAGATCAAAATATTCATAACTTGTATTGGGTTCTACGAGGCAAGATGTTAATTGTTTGCACAAACTTACTGGATTAGTGGTCATTGATGGGGGAAGAGGTTGGAATACTAAGTGTTAGAGGCATAAGATGCCATAACTTATACAACATTCAGCCCAAATTCAAAATATCCTCGCTTCTTACTAAGAAAAGTAAAAGTGAATTTCTACATCATCTTTCTTATGTTTATTATTTTTCCATTCCCTATTCTTAAGACCTTGAGTGTCAACCACTTACTTTGTGCATACAAAGGGCTTGGTCAGTTTTACTCAAGACGTCAAGGTGCAATGTGCCAAATATTCCCACCCAGAATTTTTGGGCACAGGCGGAGGCGAGTCCGGCGGTCAAGGCTCCCCCGGGTGCGAGCCCAACCATTGCCACCACCGCCGGGCCCGCGCGCCCGGTACTCACCCGTCCGATCCCCCTGCCCACCCGATCGGACGGCGGGGAGCAGAGCGAGCACCTGCGGGGGCTGCCCACCCAAGTGTAGTATGGTCTAGTAATGGGAATAGTCAGCTCTACTGCCTCCAGCCTCCAAGAACCATGCTTTTCCTCCAGCCTCCAAGAACCACGCCTTTTGTTTTCTTCTCTGGATTTTGTTGTCCGTGTACTGCCGAGGACAGCCTCACAGCCGGACAGGAGCCTTCCACGCCGAACGGAAGCCGGACGCTCACAGTAGTCTTCGGCAGGAACGCTGAACGCGTCCCAGAATCAACTACTACTCCTACTGCTTAGGCAGACGGAGCAACGCGTCCGATCGACAATCATTAGGCTGGACCGCTGGAAGCTTCACTGATTTTCTCCTACGAGAACGGCGCGGCGTCCGCGCATAGGTAGAGAAGAGGACGGGACGAGCAAGTATTACCCCACACGGCGATCATTGCAACCCGCATTGCCGCTTGGGCCACAGCGGCGGAAACGATGGCCGCTTCTGTTTCTCTCTGCCTTGCCCTTCCCGCTGCGTGGCGTCTGGCGTGGGAGCGTGGCTCGGTAGGACGGGCAGGCTCCACAGGCTGGGCCGAACGCCCAATCCAACACACACAAAAGACACAATGGACGGGGCGTGCGGCCGTGACCACTGTGTCTCTAGTCTCACACAATGGACGGCGAGGTCCGAACGCCGCCCACCACCGAAATCCATCCGCCAGGTGCGGCCGTTTATATACCTACACGCCTCCGGCCCCTTGCACGTCTCCACTACATCCCACCGCCACCTCGTCACAGCCGCTTCAACACACAACACCGCCGCACCGGACGCGAACCCACCGCACCGCAACGGCCGCCGCGCGCTACGAGCACCAGTCCACCACCGCCATGGCCGCCGCGCGCTACGACGTGGAGAAGGGCGGGAGGAACGGCGGGGAGGGGAAGCGCTACTCGCCGCCGCCGCCGGAGCACCACCTGTACCCGTAACCGCAGCAGCGGGATGGGGAGAGGGAGTGGGTGCCGTGGTTCGTGCCGCTCGTCGCCGCCGTCAACATCGTGCTGTTCGCCGTGGCGATGTACGTCAATAACTGCCCCGCCCACGCCACCGCCTCGTCTCGCCGCGGCGGCGGCGCCTGCGTCGCCCGCGGTTTCCTCCACCGCTTCTCCTTCCAGCCGCTCAGCGAGAACCCGCTCCTCGGGCCCTCGTCGGCCACGTAAGTGCTCGTCGAGCCCCTCCGATCGATCCGTTTCCTCCTGCCTTTCTTCAGTTCCAAATCTTCTCCATTCAATTATCAAATGTAGTAGCACTAGCTACAGACATAGATGAAGCAATGCTACATACAGATCGTAATGGATTCATATAGAGAAAAGATTACATCACCAACTCTGCTCTACTATCTCTGATTGGTTTGCCACTCAAGTACAAATTTACTTTGCCCAAAGTAAACGCAACTCGAAATTGTTTGCATCCATGGATGGACGATGAACGGTTTCTCACATTGATCAGAGCACCTTGTTTCCCGCAGGCTGCAGAAGCTGGGGGCACTTGTATGGGACAAAGTTGTGCAGGAGCACCAAGGATGGAGGCTCCTCACCTGCATCTGGCTGCACGCCGGTGTTGCCCACCTTCTAGCAAACATGATCAGCCTCGTGCTCATCGGACTCAGACTTGAGCAACTGTTTGGATACGGTATGCACAGCTGTAGGAACTTAACACCGCCCGGCTTGAGTAGAACTATGTCTGATCTGGATCTACATTCCCGTTTCCTTACAGTGAGAATTGGCATCATCTACCTTGTTTCTGGCGTTGGAGGCAGCGTGCTCTCATCTCTGTTCATCAGGAACACCATCTCTGTCGGCGCTTCTGGAGCTCTGTTCGGACTCCTTGGTGCCATGCTGTCCGAGCTCTTCACCAACTAGACCATTTACTCAAACAAGGTGCAGATCTTCCCTCCTCGCATTGCGGTGCAAATCTTTCGGCAGAAAATGTGGTTTCCGGACTAAACTGCACTAGCTCACTCAAGTAATGTGATGTCCAATCTGCAGGCTGCAGCCCTGGTAACCCTCCTGGTCGTCATCGCCATCGGCATCCTCCCGCACGTCGACAACTTCGCGCACATTGGGGGATTCCTCACCGGCTTCCTCCTGGGGTTCGTCTTCCTGATGCGCCCGCACTACGGGTGGATGCAGCGCTACGTCCTGCCCTCCGACGTCAAGTACACCACCAAGAAGTACCTGGCCTATCAGTGGGCTCTGCTGGCCGTGGCTTCGGTCCTCGCTGTCGTCGGGTAAGCATAAGCATCACATCACATGCTGGTGCCTCCTCTTTCTGAAACCTAACAAGCCAATACTAGTGCTCGCTCATATCTTAATGCGCCTGCTATGATGCTAATCTAATGCATTCTGTCAGCTTTCCTTTCACCACCACCCCAAAAGAAAAGAAAAGAAAAAAGTGTTCTGTCAGTTTGGTCGGTTTGACTGAATTTGAACTCATGTGTTGCGCAGGTTCGCCGTTGGGCTGGGGATGCTTTTCAGAGTGGACGCGAATGACCACTGCGGGTGGTGCCACTACCTCAGCTGCGTTCCGACCTCCAGATGGAGCTGTGGGAAGTGAAGATTGGTGTGCGGAAACAATGGACTGAAGCCAGGAGAGAGCCCATGGCCCATGGAACCTTTTCTCGGGCAAGCATTTCTAAAGATGAGCAACGGGCCACCGCCCGGCACGGCCCGAGCCCGGGCCAAGCACGGCCCGATCGGGCTCGGGCCCTTTTGGCCCGCCGGGCCACCGGGCGTGCTCGAAACAGATCCACCTGTGCTGGTGGACGGTCCGGTGCAGTCCGTCCGGTGGGTTTAATATCGGGCCGTGCCGATTTTGTTGAGCCCGTGGCCCACTGGTCCATTGGGCCAGCCCATAGCCCGTTACACAGTAAACACCATATTTCAAACAACACAATCACAGGTTTAAACTTCAAACAATCACAGGTTCACATATTCATATTCAACAATCACAGAAACACCAGATGACAAAAGATTTGAGTGTTTTGTGCAATGTCCTCATTAAAAACCTTTCTAGGTAAAACTCACACCTCGTGAGATAAAACCCTAGAAAGGAAAAGAGTACGACCAGACTCAATAAATTAAAATGTTCAAATTGTTCAAAGTTATTACAAACCAGCTAGCTCAAATGTCTCAACTCTCACAACTAAAGTCGCACTCACAACCTCTCGTGCTCTCGGCTCTCAAAGAATCAACCATCACCAAAGCAGAGATGATCCACCACTCCATCATCAAGGTAATCGCTCTTTGAAGTACTCTTCTAGCTCTTTGTCCTCCACAAGTGTCTTTGTCCATCGGATTCACCTAGCTCCTAGTCTTTGACACAGATTAGCATCTCCACACCTTTGTCGCGCCCAATCGCCGCCGCCGCTCCTCAATGATCCCGCCAAGAAGACTAAAGGTAGACTCAAGAAGTAGTTGATACAGAGCAATCATAATATCTTTAGCCAAGGTACGAGAGAACTGGATAGGTTAGTTTATGCTCATGCCACCAATTGAGGATATCAAAGTCATCATCATATGCCACAACACCATCCTTTGTCAAGGTAAACAAGTGAGCTCAGAGAGACCGAAGGCACAATAGATCCTGCAGATACACTTGAAGGACCAGAAGAAACTAATCCTCCAAAAATTTTACCCCATGCCCGCTTTCTCTTAATTGTCAGGTCCGGATGGATGGGTGGTTCTGAATGCCTAGCAAACACCAAACTTAGATTCATACTTGTCATAGAGTTTATGCAACTCAGATTTAACCTCAAAGAAAGTAATCAATGTAACTCATATTGTTACTTAGAGCAAGCAAGTCAAGCACATTTCCTAGACCTTTCAACTTAGCCCTTGGGTCCGAATAAATGCAAAAGAGTATAACAAAGTTGGTATATTCTTCCAATACTTAAGAAATTTATTCTTCATTGGCACAACTACAGCAAAGAAGAGTATTATCATGTTCAAATTCATGCAGATGGGATGCAATCTCAAGTATGTGATGCAGTACCAAAGGACTAGTGGGGTAATAAACACCGTAGAAAGTACAATAGTTGAATCATAGAACAACTCAAGGGCGCAATACCTTGTCAAGAATGTACCAATCTTGTTCATTCAATAGAGGATAGCCAGACTGAGAATTGATGAACACAGAAAACAAAGATCTATATGGCATGAGATGTTTTAGCATAAGGTAGGTTGAGTTCCATCTAACATCCATATCCAAAGCAAATTTACGAGGCCTCATACCCTTAGCAATGCAGTAGTTTTTGAATTGTGCAATGCGATGATTAGATGAATTCAAAAAGTTAATTGCAGTCCTAAAAACCTCTATGTGTGGTTTAAGCCTTTTCAAACCAGATTTAACAATCAAATTAATTATATGGCAAGCACATCTCTGATGCACAACATGATAGATCTTTTTACTAGAATTCAATGGATCAATATCATAATCCAAGTAACAGCAAGCAGAGGACTCAAAGTAAGCATAGCAGATGTATTAGCAGATGCATTATCACAGAGAAAACTTTGTCAAGTAGGCCCCAATCTCCAAGCACACCAGCAATAATTTCAGCAATGTTAATACCACTATGAGTCACTTCAATCAGTTTAAAGCCAATAACAACTTTCTTAAGTTCCCACTCAGAAGTAATGTAGTGAGCAACAACAGTGATATAATCTTCCTTAGCATTGCCAGACCAGATATCAGATGTCAAACAAACAGAAGACACACCAGGCATTACTTCATTTTTTAGGTGATGCAGTTTTTCATTGAAAAGCTTAGAAAGATCTCTAGATGTGGTGAATCTAGACACTCTCTTGTATCTAGGATTGTGAGCACGCTGAATGTAATCATCCCAAGCATCATTGTCAGCAATAGATAAAGGCAGATCTAATCTAGCAATCAAACGGCAAAGCTCAGCTCTAGCAACATTAGGCCTATATTCCCGGTTCCTATAAGACCCATCAGGATTCAAAGCAAGCCTAGTTTGAACCAAATTAGCCTGCTCGTTTTCTTCTTGCATGAGAGCATATGTCTTTTCAAATGACCCGGTGCCATTAGCGATTTACCGGACAAACGAGACTTACAGAGCTTACAAATAGAAACAACACGTACCTCACCGTCCACTTTGCCTCTATGATTTCATCAAAGTTAGCCCAGACGGGGGGATCGGCGCTACTAGTGGTGGACGAAGCCGAGATGTCAGATCGCTGGTGGTCAAGAAGAATAGCCCGCCGTGATCGTCTCGGTTGGTCGGAGCAGCACTCCTACCGAACAAGAGATGAGCAGCATCTCCCATGTCGTCTTCGTCATCGGGGATCTGCCCTGTGGCCCTGAGCTCGTCGTTGATGGTTGGACCATCGTCACCATCAGCGGACTCAGAGCCGGCCATGGCAGATGGCACCCACCCAACCGGCACCGTCCCTCAACGTCTCCTGCGGCACCAGCTACACCTACACACCGGCGACCTGCGAACCAAAAACACCGAGAAATGGATTAGGGTTCGTGTGATTGCCTACTAGATCTAGGGTTAGGGTTAGGGTTAGAGGTACTTGCCTGCATGGAGACGGAGCCCGGCGCCGGAGAAATGGAAAAGAAGACGAAGACGAGACGGAGAAGAGGGGGGAGACAAAAGGAGATCCCAAGATCCGGTCAGAGAGGTAGGGAGGAAGAAGTGAGACGAGGAGGGGGGAGAGATCAGAGAAGAGGAGATCTCAACATCCGGCGTCGGTAGCGGTAGCCTGGGAGGTGGTCGACGGTGGGCGGTGGGCGGCGACCGACGGCAAGAGGCGAGGCGAGGTGGGGATTAGGGTTAGGGTTTCAGAGCTCAGAGGCGAGGGTGGCGGGCGAACGGCTGCGGGCGCGGGCGGAGTGAGGGGGAATAGCCGAAGGTGGGGGTCCGCCTGGGCCGCGGGGGGGCTTATATAGCCCCTCCAGCTGCCGGGCCTCTACCGGGCCGGCCATTGTAAAACAGGCCGTGCCGTGCCGCTCGGCTGGCCGAGGCCTCAGCCCAAGCCCGGCTACCACACGGGCTTTTGGGCACGGGCACGGGCCAGTTAGGGTTCGGGCCGTGCCGTTCTCGGGTCGGGCCCCATAATAGCAGCTTTTGGTCGGCCTTTGGCCCACGGGTGCATGCACATATTTAAGCATTTCCATGAATAGATAGATAGATATACAACAATAAAAGTCTTCATACATAATGTCATCGAACGTGACTCCGGGGTTTATATATGACATTATTATGTTTATCTCGATCGATCGATGATTCGCTCAATTTATTCGATTAAAATTGAGATGCCTTCAATCTTTCATTGCTGTATAGTATTTGCAAACTAGCTTGCAGTTGTATCGTTGTCTAATCTGTCAATCACAAACGATCTTCCCGATGATTATTGCGGTTCTTTCTTGCGCCCTGTTCGCTTGACTTATAAATCGTACTTTTTCAGTTAACGAATAGTATTTTTTCTCACAATAAATCAGCCAACAGTATTTTCAGCCATGGTTTATCATCTAAGCGAACAGGACAATGATAAGTTACGATGTTTGGGGGTGTTCATTTAATTTCCACTAGACCTTGTTAGGCAGATATTTTTTGAAACCTCACCCAAGAAATCTGAGAAGCCGATGAGATTATGTTTATGTGAATTCATCCTTGTAGTATAAAAGATAGCTTCTCCTCTCCGGAGCTTCTTTTGTACACAAAGTCGTTTCTTAAGAGAAGCTGGAGAAGCCAAAACTGAAGCCCCTCAAAAAGACTTCACAAAGAAAGCCGAGTAAAGTCCACTGGTGGTCCTCGAACTTGTTCAGCCGTGTCATACCAGTCCCTACAACTCTTAGGTTTGGGAGATTTGAGAAATTCAAAGATCACGCGTTTCTACGATCATCAGAGAAATTAGAGAACTTAGTGCTTCTTTTCTTGTTTTTCTCTAATGTATAATATTACATCATGTAATCATGTAGCCCATGCTCTAGCTAAGCAGATCTTAGATGGCAACAGGGTGGGTGAGTGGCAGTTAGCCCCAACCTGTATTGCTCATCTGCATACTGAAGATCGTGGCGATTCTACTTCCTGGTTAATCAAGTTTCTACGTCGCAAAAAAAAGTCTTACTATACATAATGCCATCAGAATGTAACACCCGGGGTTTATATGTGACATTATTATGTTTATTTGATTGATTGATCGGACCGCCTCTAAGGACACGTGCCCTCATATGCATTACCACTGGATGTACATAGGGCATATGCCTTTAGAGGCGGAAACAACATTCACTTGATCAATGATTCATTATATTTATTCAATGAGTTAAAATTGAAATGTCTTGAATCTTTCACCTGTCAGCTATATTTGCAGTTGTATAGTTTTATTGTTGTCTACCTGTCAACCACAAAAGATCTTGCCAATGATTACTGTGGTTCTTGCACAACAAGTTACTATATTGGGGGCGTTCGTTTCCGCTATAGCTGTTACAGGTTCTCAACGCCCCTCGTGATGTTTAGCTAAGTCCACCCTCAATGAGACCCACGGGAGTATTACTAAGAACATAACATATAACAAAAATTTATAAAATTAGAGAGAAATAACACATAATTATCAATTTATCATCACTAATGATTTGGAAGTTCACAACAACTTAAAACTAATCTAGTACATACTATGTAGATAACATAGTCCATACAAATCATCCTAAGTATTACATAAGTTTGCACCAAATAGTTCTAGATTTCTAATTGGATGGGGGAATAAAAAAACATATGTTTCAGACCCCACCGGTCACCTGCGGGTGAAACGTAACACTCGCACCCAACCTGCACACCATCGTGGCCCCGACCTGAGGACATCAATGGATCAATGTTGCGTCCGCACCCTAACGGATACAACACCCACGGGTGTGATTGTCATCCCTAGTTGTAGCCCCAAATCCATTTGCGCGGTCATTCGTGAGATTCAAGGGCGGCATGTCCGTGCGCACCGACTCGTAACTAATTCCTTTTTCGTCCGGTTTCTTTTCTGTCCTTTTATTTACTCATTCTAAAGTATATTTCCCCGTCGCGTGGCATTGCTGTGCATTCAGCCATACGGGTCTATTTAGTGCATGCTGGTTGGATTTGTTGGGTGGCATGACTATACATGCACGGACGTTTCTTTTTTCTTTTTTTGTTTTTTTTCTTTCTACCATTTTTCTCTTTTTTGTTATATATTTATAAGTTATACTTTATAGTTATTTTCGTACATAATTTTCATATTTCTACTAATATATTATAATATTAATTTGTTATCTAAGTTCTTGAATATAACTTATACATCTGACTTTACATCTAAGTCATTCATTAAATTATATAACTAAGTTATACAAACAAGTCATAAATAAAAGTTTTGCATATATTTTTTTTAGCTTTCTAAGAAATTATGTTGATAAGTTTGTTCTGTAAAATATTATACATAAAAGTTATGCGTATAACTTTGTCACGTAGTAAGTCATATGTATAAGTTATGTGCGTAACTTTGTCACGTTGAAGGTATACGTTGAAGTCATGTGTATAAGTTATATGTATAAGTTATATGTTGAAGTTTGTTCCACAAGTTATACGTAAAAGTTATGAGTATAACTTTGTAAATTTCCAAAAAGGGAAAGTTGCGGAAATATTTTTCCAAAAAAAAAAAGTTGTTGGGCTGCTTTGATTTGCTAATCCCGCGCGCACAACCGAGCACGTGTAGAGAGAATGAGCATGCGCACAGCACCAACCAAATATAGAAAAGAGGTGGAATTATTTTTTCCCAAAAAAGGAAGCAGAGGCGTGTCTGAATTTTGTTCGCCAAATTCAATTGCAATGAACGTTCGTGAATTAGTCTCGTTGAGTTGCGGCTGTGGCTGCAATACCCTCACTATGTTACCGTCAGTGACGAAGCCAGAAAAAAATTTAGGAGGGGCTGAATAAAAGAATAGATGTTTTTTTAACTTCTCTTAACCTTAGCCCCTCCTACATAATACATATATGCATAAAATTTTAAGAGAGGACTTAGGAAAACTCCACATGCTCAGGATGGGTAGGGGGGGCTGAAGCCCCCCTAGCCCCACCGCTGGCTACGTCCCTGGTTACCGTCCTAGCTGCAACCACACCTTTAGCAGAAGCAAACGGGCCATACTTAGACGTTGTTAGATAGATGTATTTTTAGCCTCACCCAAGAATTCTAAGAAGCCGGTGAGCTTATGTTTACTTGAATTCATCCTTGTATAGTACCCCAAAAAAATAGCTTCTCCTCTTTGGAGCTTCTTTCGTACACGAAGTCATTTCACAAGAGAAGCAGGAGAAGCCAATAAAGACCCTCAAAAAGACTTTCCAAACAAAGCCCCAATACAATTAATAAAAAATAACCAGGTGTTAGCTATCAAATACTGATCGCTTGATGTACGGAGGGGAAATTAATATATTTCTGCACGGGGAAATGAACCGCACCGAAGTTGAGAATACAAATTAATGCGATTTCAACAAAATGGTTCATGGGATGGGATGGAACAGGCTACAAAGGTGCAACTTCATGTCAGTTGCCATGCTTCAGCAGAGTCTAGCTCTCAGTTCAGGCTACAAAGGGGATGCCACGGCGGGGCGGTACCGCAAGAAGGCGAGGTCCTGGAGTATCTCGTTCCTGAACTGCGTTGCGATGGGCCGATGGTCATCCATCTCAACAGAGAGGAAAGCCGAAAGCGGGTCGCCCGAGTGGATTGCGTAGGAGTTTCGGTACGTGGGCTATTGGGCCGATAGAAAGGTCAGGCCATGCAGCGTGTTAGCAAAACGTCAGATTGGGCTCGTCTGGTCAGAAACGGCCTCGGTCAGTGGCCGATAGCAGCGACAAGAAAATCTCGAATGCAGTCGTGCTCGGGCAGGGAGCTAGGGACCAGGACGGAGGGAAGCTCCGGCTACTGCTTCGCCGTCGAGACAACTTGCCATTTTCGGGTGAACTTATCAGCCTGACTTATCATGATATAATGTTTTTCTCTCACAGTAAATCAGCCAACGGTATTTTTCAGTCTAGCTTTTCAGTGAAGACCGTGTAAGTGTCAGTCGCAGTTCGCAGTCGCGAAGAGAACGGATCGTTGTTCTTTACTAGACGTCGAAGGTGATCGATTCGTCACTGACACGTTCGCGAACTAGATATTCAGTGCAGACAAGATCAAGTGCTCAACAGATATCACCTGATAAACTCGCCGGAATTTAGCAAACAGGACGTTGCTCAGTTGCCTAATTTTCTTTGACGCGATTTATTTGTATATCTAGATTCGAGTATTTAAATCCGCAATGATGCTTGCTTACCGTTCCTGAAAATTGTGGTAGTTTGGGTGCTAATCTTTTTGGCCATACTCCTATGATACAACAAAAATGTCAACTCGGCTCTCAAAAGTCTTCTTGGCTGACGACATCACCGCTCTGCTTCGTGGCGGCCTGCAGCCCCTTGTCCTTGTTGATTTGGTCGCCCACTAAAGTGCAAAGCTGCCGGCTGCCATCATCCCGTTATTACACGCACGCATCACGCCAAAAGGAAAAATTCCGAAACTCTCCTTGGTTCAGATACTCTCAACGGAGTCCCATATCAATTATCATCAGTATCACTGATAAGAAAATGTTCACACAGATCCTTGAAATGATTGAAACTCTCAAAAACAGGCTGAGAAGGACTAGACGGTAAATTCGCACCCCAAATGTAACAGACGACCCTGAACTGCATTGGGACTGAGGACCGGGAGAGCCAGGAACATATGCCGTGCTGGCTCCGAGCCTCCGACTGCCGCAGGAGCGGCGGCGCCCAGCCCTGGACACACGACGTGGACCTACGCTTGGACGGCGACGGCGTCCGTGAACCGGAGGCTGCGGCCGCCGGCGCCGCCGGCTTCCGCCCAGGCCACGCCGCGGCGCGCCGTGCTGCCGTCCGCGGCGCCGCGCAACGCCCGCCGCGTGCTCGTCGTCTTCGCCGCCGCCGTAGACGACACGGAGAGCCCGGCGTCCTCGGCGGCGTGGTGCGTCTCGAAGTCGAGCGGCGGCCCGTCGGCGTCGTCCCCGCAGTACGTGGCGCCGGCGGCGCTCGGCCCCAGCAGGAGCCTGCTGTCCGCGGCGCCGCGGCTGTTGTGCCATATCCCCAGGCAGAAGGACGCGGAGCAGAGCGCCGCGGCGAGGAGGAAGACCAGGAGGTCAACGCGCGTGATGAGGGTGCCGCCGCAGCACCTCCTGTTGCCGGTGCCGCCGCCGCGCGCTCTCGGCGACGATCCGTCGTTCGCCATGGCCTGGAGCGTGGAGGGGGAGGAGGACACGAGGCGGAGGAAACGGGAGAGAACTGATCGACTCAGGTCGCCTTTGAGGCGCAAAGACAAAGAGGCCAAAGTTTTATATGGTATGTGTAGGTTGCAACGAAGCTGGAAGCTGGAAGCTGGAAGTTGGGGTCGATAGTCTCCATGGTTGCTCAGGACTGATGAAAAGCAGCAGTCTTTTACATGGATCGTGCTTTATTTTTGCATCATAAGTATATTGATCATACTCCAAATTTTACTTACGGTATGTAGTAGTAGCAGTATCTTATGGATGGTGATGAAATGCTGGGCTCTCCATCGTCCTCGCGAAGATCCGCCAAACTATTGTAGTATAATAATACTCCTATTCGGTTCTTTGAACGAATCAAAGAAGTGACCAGAACGAGATCGTGTCCTCCTCACACAAACAGTCCAGTTTTACCACTTCATTGGTCGCTCCCGACGAGCACGGGTTGGTTGGGAGTTCGCGATTGGATGTGCGGAGCCGGTCCACTTTGGCGCCCGCTGCGCGTTGTCTAATTGACTCGACTCTGGGTCGAGATACATACAGTCGGAGCGTGCTGGCCCGACCAGGAGGAACACCGCACGCAACGCAAGGGCCCGATTACACTTGAGCCCATAGACGGCACATGTGTGGCTCGGCCTGTGACGTGGCTTATACAAAGGCCCATGCGAATTATATATAGCCCAGCCCACCGACTCGGGGTCGAAAACACTCAACAGCATTCGTTGGTTGGGTTGGGCCTAAGTCCAGACAAACTTTAATTTGGAGAGTAATTAACAACAAAATTCTGTCCATGAACATTGAACAACATTTTGCCAACCTACTGGAAAACCATAGTGGCGCCGCTTATTTTAAAGGCGATCCTTGAGCTTGACCTCATCAGAATTGTTAGGATACCAACACGTATTGTTTGTCTGCAACCATGTCTGAAGATAGGGGTGGGGCACTTTGAACACGAGAACTGAAAACCGATCTGAACTGAACCTGAATTATTATCGGTCTATTTGATTAGATTTTGGGTTTCGCCTTCGGTCTCGATTTTTTTCCTATTCGGAGTACCGGGTTGTTCGCTGGTCTGATCTGAACCAGCCAGCCAGCTGATCCCCCTCTCATTTCACTGTTCACCAAACCAGCCAACAGTGTTTTTCTCTCACAACAATTTAGCCAGAACAGTGTTTTTCAGCCAAGTTTCAGACCAGCGAACGGGCCCTACATGGGTTAGGGTTGGGGCTTTGCTCTCTAAAAAACCTGAATAGACCTTTAACAAATCGTGGGTGATCATATATGATGTGTTCAAGCTTGTATTTATCCCTCTTAATTTACAGTATAAACTTTCAAACTACACCAAAATTATTATCCTTACAGATGTTTGGTGAGGTCAAAGAAGAAAGGGGTAATTTCTTATTTGGTCCTGGTTTAAAGTTGTCTTTCTTCGTTGGCTCTGAAACAAAATTTCTTACCTATTTGGCCTCACTCGAAGTTTCGTTTTTCAATCTGGCCTACCGTCATCTCCCGCCTCTAACACCGTTAAGTGGCACATGAAAAGACCAAACTGCCCCTGAGACATTATGAGAAACCAAAGGTCACCCAGATAGCATAACAATATAATTTTGAGCACTTTGAATCCAATTCATAACATTATTCAGGGGCAGTTTGGTCTTTTCATGTAGCACTTAACGGTGTTAGAGGCGGGAGATGACGGTAAGGCCAGATTGGAAAATGAAACTTCGAGTGAGACCAAATAGGTAAGAAATTTTGTTTCAGAACCAAGAAATAAAGACAACTTTAAACCAGGGCCAAATAAAAAAAATTCTTAGGAAGAAAAGATTTGGAAACAAATGGCTAAAGAACTCATTTATATGCTTGATGAGTATGAGATAAGAAAAAATGCAAAGAGTTATTTGGTCAATTAAGCGGACCGGACAGTCCGAACCGAATTATTTCAGTTTTTAGGTTTGGTTCCTATTATTTCTCTCTCTCTCTCTCTCTCTCTTCGTAGGAAAGAGAACGTATGAATAAAGAACACCTAAGTTTGGGGAGGACATGACTAAATCCATTAAGAAAGGTTTATGTGTATAAATCAAAGCTGAGAGGTATTCTTACGAGAATCTGTATTCATCTTACTTTGATGCAATCAATTGTATCCCTGGCTGGCGAGTTTCTGATTCTGTCAAGTATAACCGGGAAGGTAGAAAATCAACCATGGAGCTTGTTAATCAATATCTTGCAAATTTGGGTGAGAGTAGTTCTAAGAAGCAGCTAGAGTACACTACGGGAGAACGGAGATTTACCGAGTGCCGCCAGCTTTGTCGAGTGCAAAAAATCGAGCACTCGGCGAAGCCACTCTTTGCCGAGTGCCGGATCGGGTGGCACTCGGCAAAGTCTAGCACTCGGCAAAGAGTGGCTTTGCTGAGTGCCATAGAGTGCCCGACACTTGGCAAAGGGCGGCACTCGGCAAAAGCCCTCTTTGCCGAGTGCAACACTCGGCAAAGAGTGGCACTCGGCAAAAAAATTGGCACTTGACGGCCGAGCCCGCCCACGTCGTCAAATTTAAGAAAAAAAATTCTTTACCGAGTGCCGGCCCTGGACTCGACAAAGTGCCAAGGCCCTGCACTCGGTAAAGATCCCTTCTTTGCCGAGTGCCACTTCCTGGCACTCGGCAAAGGACCTCTTTGCCGAGTGCCACGGCCGGCACTCGGCAAAATATTTTTTTTTTGTTTTTTTGACCCATTTTTTTTATGAGGCCTTCCCACATTATTTAAAACTCCATGTTCAAATTTGGGACAATTTTGACTTTTTTTGCTATATTTTGTTAGTTTTTTTTTGTTTCGTTGAATTTTATGGAATATTTTAAATTTGAACGGCAGGTGCATGGAATAATCGAATTTGGTCATTCAAAAAATGATATTCATGATATTTGGCGTATGTTGAGGCCGTATCCGACGGAACTGCTGAAAATTTCAATTTTTACTTTAGACTCTACATGCGATAACACGACGCCTCGAAAAGTTTGTATATTTTCGGACTTTGTTCGATTTTATATAATTTAAATACACTTTTCTCGCAGTACGTCGTGTTATGTTACGCCAACAAGATGCTCTAAATTTCATGTGAGTTCCGGATATGCCTCAACATACACCAACATATCATGAATATCATTTTTGAACGACCAAATTCGATTATTCCATGCACCTCGCAGCTCAAATTTGAAATATTCCATAAAATTCAACGAAAAACAAAAAACTAACTAAATATAGCAAAAAAAGTCAAAATTGTGCCAAATTTGAACATGGAGTTTTAAATAATATATTAAAAATGCAAAAAATAACGGGCAAATTATTTTTTTTTGCCGTCTGGCCCGCCCTGCATTGGGCAAGAGGGTTTTTGCCGAGTGCCAGGAAGTGGCACTCGACAAAGAATTCTTTATTAAAAAACAAAGCCTTTTTTGCCGAAAGTCTGGGCCGCCCAAAGACACGGCAAAGGGGGAAACCTAACTAAATGTGTGGGCCAGCCCACACACTCACTCACCCACACAACACACACTCACGCACACCACGCCCGCTGTTCGCCGCCCGGCTCATCATTTCTTCGCTCGCCGCTCCACCCCGGCCCCGACCGCCCATTTACGCTTCTATATCCTCGCCCGCCCATGAACCCATAGGCCAAGGTGCTGACCGGCCGCCCGGCGGGCGCCGGGCGCCTGCCCGCCGCCTGCCGCCCGCCCTCGCCCGCCCGGCCGGCCGCCCATCGTTCCAGTCGTCGGCCTCGACCCTGCCGGTTCGAACCGCCCATTTTGCCCAAAGGCCTGGCCCAGTGAGCCATGCCCTGAAGGAAGGAGGAAGAAGGTAGCAGGAAGAGGAAGGAGGAAGAAGAAGGAGGAAGAAAAAGGAAGAAGGAAGAAAAAGGAGGAGGAAGAAGGAGAAGAAAAAGGAAGAAGAAGGAGGAGGAAGAAGAAGGAGGAGGAAAAGGGGAGAGGGGGAGGAAGCCAAGGTGGAGGGGACGAACATTCGTCCACGTCGTCCACGCCGTTCGTCCACGCCGTCATCCCCGCCCTCGCCGAAGGAGAAGGTAAAGCCGCAGGGTTGTCGGCCATCGCGCCATTTATGTCGTTGACGGCCTTCGTGCCGAGTTTGTGGTTGTGTTGGCCATCGTGCCCCAAATGTGGACGTCGGCCATCGTGCCGACGGTTTTTCTTGCAGGTTTTGGAAACCTCCCCGTGCAGGGGAGGTTCTGCCAAAATTTTCAACTTTTAGTGATGTTTTTCTTCTTTTGCAGAGCAGGACCTATCGGAGGGGACCCGGAGCACCTCGGCGACCCTGATCGTCTTTGTCGGTGTTGCGGTCCTACCTACACAGCGCCGACTCGCCACTGCATCGACTCGCCACTACGCCGCTAGCCTGTCTCCACCGCCACCCTAGGTATAATTGAGCTCTCTTCCTTACCATTGTAGTACGTAGATCGTTGTAGCCCAGTTAGGCGTCTCCCGTCCAAAACAGATACGGTTGGAGGTATGCGGATCTCTGCATATCTATGACTGTATCTGTTTCGGATTGTCCACGTTTTTTGGACAGTCCGCGGATGCGTAGATGGGTTAGTTTCCATGTTCTGCTCGGATCCGAGATGGAGTTTCGGCACCACCTCACTGTTGTTCTCCGGATACAAACTCTCCCTTTCAGGACGTGTATCGAGAGAACAACGGGGAGGTGCTGCCGAAATTCTGTCTCGGATCGGAGTAGAGCATGGAAACTAACCTCATCTATGCATCCGCGGGTGGGATTAGGACCTATCCTCACCTATTAGACAGTAGGCACGCCGTGCAGATGCAATTGATGGTTATATTACTCCGTTATGTGTATATGCTAGAGTATGGATAACTGTGAGTGGATGTACATGGGACGCCCAAGTCAGGCTCAAATCACCCGTGAATGGATGGATAAGACCGAGAAATTCTTGGACCATGCATTTAAGA